CACCTGGCGCGAGGAAGAGAGGCGGGGGGGGGAGCGGGGCAGTGCGGTAGGGGAAGAGGCGGTAGTAGGGCACGGACTCGTCAAAAGTGACGTCCTGAGAGGGCAGGACCCGGCGCGAGGTAGCGTGGTAAAACTGCCAGCCAGACGCGTCCGGGACAAAGCCAAGGAAGACACAAGGAACAGCGCGGGAGGAGAGCTTGTCCGCGGACGTATCGCGAACAAAAGCTCGAGATCCCCAGACCCGAAAACGAGACGCATCGCCAACCTCTCCCGTCCAACGCAGTGTCGGGGAAGTCTCCGGCAAGGAGACACGGGGCCAGAGGTTGAGCTGATGCGCAGCGTATCGGACCGCAAACGGCCACAAAAAGTGGGGTGCAGCCGCATGGATCAAGGAGGTACGAGCGACCTCCATGACCAAGCCAATACGGCGCTCAGCAACCCCATTCTGCTGTGGAGAGGCCGGAAGCGTGAACGACTGCTCAATGCCGTGCTCCGCACAGTAGGCTGCCAAGAGGTCGGAGGAGAACTCACCACCTCTGTCAGAGTGCAGACGCAGGACAGGAAAGTCCGAGTGGAACCTCTCGCTGAGCTGAAGACGGGCTCTGCGGATCCAAGGGATCAAAACATCAGGGACCTCACCCTTGGTGCGCAAGGGGAAGACCGTGGTGTAGCGCGAGTAGTCGTCAACAACAATCAGGAAGTACCTCTCCTGACCCTGACCACGGACGCGGGCTGGGCCCCACACGTCCATGTGGAGCGTCTGCAAGGGAGCAGTCGTCGGGGGAAACGAGGAGGAGTGAGGAGCGGCGCGCTGCCGCCCCTCGACACAAGGAAGACAGGGAGGAGCAGGCGAGGGTGGGAGGAGGGAGTACCCTGGGAAGACCAGAGACAAGGTACCGTTTGTGCATGGCACGAAGGCGCTGCACGGACGGGTGACCAAGTCGGTGGTGCCAGAGGACAGTCTCGTGCGCCAGAGAGCGACACGAGCAGGGGGGCGACAGCTGACCTGACGCAGACGCAGACGCAGCTACCTGAGGGGACTCAGTGGTCAGTGTGTACAGGTCCGACCCCGGCTGCCGAGTGAAGGTAGCCAGGTGACGGCCCGTCCGAGCACACGTGCAGTGTGTCACGCGCTCGTAGGCAGGGGTGAACTGGTGAACACCCCCGTCCTGGAGCGCACACCCCGCCACCAAGTTCGTAGAGAACGAGGGGAGGTGGAGACCTGACAGTGTGCCCGACGGGACCGCAGGACAAGGAAGGACAGTGGAGGAGGTCGCAATGACCGGACCCCCAGAGGGGTCAGCGAGGGAGACAGCAACTGGCCGAGCAAGCTGCTCAAGGGCAGTGCGGTCACGAAAGAAACAGCGAGAAGCACCTGAATCCAGTGTGAAGGTGTGGAGTGCCTCAGTCGACTCAGTACCAGGGGGCGCAGACTCACTAGCACCTAGAGCAGCAGTCTCACCAGCACCTGGGGCAGCAGACACGCTAGCACCTAGAGTAGCAGCCTCACCAGCACCTGGGGCAGCAGACACGCTAGCACCTAGAGCGGCAGCCTCACTGGTGCGAATGCCCGGGTCGGGCGGAACACTCAGATACTGATCACCCTCTCCACTAGTAGACATCACATACATGGCAGTGAGAATAGCATCAAAGTCAAGAGCAAAGACATCAATGTTCTTCTTCATCAGATCCCACCAGCGGGGCAGCTCAGTGGCAGTAGGGAACTGAGTGCGCCAAGCGTCGTCGAGGCGGGAGAAGCAGCACTGCGTGGCGTGCGCCCTCCCACACGTGTGGCCAGTGCGCTCACCAGTGCGGATGACGTACGTGCAGCTAAGGCCACCCCCCCCCCCGTGCTGAGAGTACCACTCACGAAGCTCCTGGGAAGAGAGAGTCGGCTGTCCGCCAGCGCCACCACGACCACCACCTCCGCCGCCACCACCTCGCCCACCACCGCTCCTGCCGCCGCCTCGTCCACCGCCGCCCCCACCACCGCCCCCACCCCGGCCACCTCCTCCGCTGCTGCCGCCACCACCCCCACCGCTGCCACTAGCCCCTCCTGCCCCGCCACCACCCCCACCGCCTCCACCGCCCCCACCACCGCCTCCCCCGCCGTCACCTCCACCTCCCTTGCCCCCTTTGCCCTTGCCGCTGTGGCGCCAGCTTGGAGCGGACGCAGTCCCGACCTGCTCAGTACCAACTAGGTCGACAGCAGCAGCAGAGGCGACAGAGGGGAGAAGGGGGGAAGGGGAACACCCCTCGAAGAACGGGGTGCGGGGGTCGCCACGAGAGGCACCTACAGCTACAATACTCTTCTCAGCTGCAAGCAGTTCCTTCTCGAGCAGATCAACGGTGAGCTCAGTGGGGCAGCGAGCGAGGAAGTGGTCCCTGCCCGCTCGAAGGGAGTCAGGGAGACGAGTGACTAGGTGATAGAGAGTGAGCCAGAGCGGGGGGGGGTGGGTGGCAAGAAACTCAGCGGGCATAGCAGCACGGAAGCGGGCCTCACTAGTGTGGAGGTGCGTGATGAGGTCAGCGACTGTGTGGAAAGAGGACAGGTCGAGGAACAGGTAGGGGAGTGAGAGACGGCCTAGCGCAGCAGAGGCAGGCGAGGAGTAGCGTGCAACTACAGCAGTGTACAGTGCCTGTGCAGTTTTGTGCTGGCCAAAGTGCTCGCGCTCATCTACCGGCAGGGAGTTGCGAATGGCAAAGCGAGCGTGGGCGTCACGAGTCTGCCACTGTGAACGGGCAGTACTGTCAGCAGTAGTAGCAGGGGCAGCAGCATTGCCTAGTGAGTGATCGTATAGCGAGATATCCTCCTTGGCAGTGAGCTGGAGGAACAGGTGCAAATCATCTAGCCAGGTCTCAAACTTCAGTGGGCGACCCTCAGCATCGAAAGCTAGAACAGCAGGGCTAGCCATAGTTGCAGTAAGGGCAGTAGTAGCAGCAGAAACAGTAGCAGTAGGAGCTGCAGGCGAAACCCTAAAAGCAGCAGGCAGTGCAACTCAGGTAGGGCGGCTCGGTCCAGAGAGGGCTGCTCAGTACGGGGAGGGCGGCGCGACTCGGTTCGGGCGGCGCGGCTCGGCTCGGTTCTGGGCGGCTCGGTTCGGGCGGCTCGGTTCGGGCGGCTCGGTTCTGGCGGGGCCGTGGCGGTCGCACGTGGGGCGGCTCGGTTCTGGCGGGGCCGACGGGGCCTGTAAGGGGCGAACGCGGGGCCGACGGGGCCGCTAAGGGGCGGCGCAAGGGGTCGACGGGGCCGTAAGGGGCCTCTAGGGGGCGGCGCTCGGGGTCGACGGGGCCGTAAGGGGCCGCTAAGGGGCGGCGCTCGGGGTCGACAGGGCCGTAGGGGGCCGCTAAGGGGCGAACGCGGGGCCGACGGGGCCGCTAAGGGGCGGCGCGCGGGGTCGACGGGACCGTAAGGGGCCGCTAAGAGGCGGCGCGCGGGGTCGACGGGGCCGTAAGGGGCCGCTAAGAGGCGGCGCGCGGGGTCGACGGGGCCGTAAGGGGCCGCTAAGGGGCGGCGCGCGGGGTCGACGGGGCCGTAAGGGGGCCGCTAAGGGGCGGCGCGCGGGGTCGACGGGGCCGTAAGGGGCCGTTAAGGGGCGGCGCGCAGGGTCGACTGGGCCTTGAGGGGCCGCTAAGGGGTCGACGGGGCCGTAAGGGGCCGCTAAGGAGGGGCGCACGAGGGCGCTACGACAGTAGGGCGCACGAGGGCGCTAGTAGACAGTCAGTGTGGTGGGCCCCTAAAAAAAATCGGTCCTAGCGGAGGACCTGCTCTGAAACCATGTCAGAAAGAACGAAACAGGAATGATTGAACTAGCACACAGTTGGGTACAAGTAGGAAACCCTATGTTTGTGTACCCCCTAAGGCTAAACCCACTATAGCCTACACAATGTAAACATACAATGTTTGACAGTGCAGTGCAGTGTTGTGCTGTGCGGTGCAGTGCAGTGCAGTGCAGTGCTGTGCTGTGCTGTGCAGTGCAGTGCTGTGCGCATCAGTTGCATGCGTAGTCCCTCCAGGCATGCCCTTGCGGTTCCTCATGCATTCATCCACACTGCACTTTTGAGGGCCTTAAAGCTTGCGGCCCAAATTGTACAACTTTACTAAAGTTTCATGTTGGGAGGTGAGGGAGCAGGGTTGGAAAGTCGAGGTGTTGGGTGGGTTGAGGGCTTTGGTTTCGCCCAACTTCTCACCAATCTCAAAAACATTTCGCTGACTCAGCAGACCCCAGGGGCCACTTCGCGTTTGGTTGCATGAGTCCCATATTGCACAAATACTATCCTTGCCAGTTTCCCACCCAACCCCCTCCGCAAACACTGTTTCAATTTTGCTAGCCAATCAGCTCAGTGTTTCAAATTGACTAGCCAATTAGCTTCCTTCGTACAACCCGTAACCTCAATTCGCAAAACCAGCACCTGCAAAACAACTGTCGATCAACCTTACTAAGGTTGCCCAGCGCGGCCCGCAATTTGGGCCGCGAGCTTTAATCTGAACCTATGTTGCAGTCATTAAGTTCTGAAATTTCTCTAAATCGAGGATGCAGCAAAGGCATCCATTCAAATCATGTGGGTATACCAACCACAGCGGGAATCTGGGGGGGTTTAGGGTTCACTCTTCACTCACAAACTCTTTCCTTTCCACGTGATGCCGTTTTCCCGTCAATGACATACCATTTCCCACCCCCTCTATCTCAAATTTTCCCAGCACCTCCTTTTCTCCGGCTTGGTGGGTGTTTGTGCAGATAAAGCACGTGCTGCATGATAGAATCACCGTATCCCCACCCCCACCCCTTCACCCTCACCCCCTGTGTGCGCAGATGGAGCATGTGCTGCATGACAGAATCACACAACTTCGGAGGCGCCCATCCACCCCGTCCCCCCTTGTCCCCCTCCCCCTCCACCCCACGTGTGCAGATGGAGCACGTGCTGCATGACAGAAGTTTCTCAAGGCGTCCCTTCCCGTCCATCCCCCCTCCCCTGTGTGCAGATGGAGCACGTGCTGCATGACAGAAGTTTCTCAAGGCGTCCCTTCCCGTCCATCCCCCCTCCCCGGTGTGCAGATGGAGCACGTGCTGCATGACAGAATCACCAACTTCGTGGAGAACGATCTCAACAACCTCAAGGTGGGCTGCCCTGCCGCTGACTCGCGTTGTCTCTCGATTTGACTAAAGAAGACCCATTCCAGCTGCCCCAAGTATGCTGCCGTTGGCTGTGGGGAGGGAGGCCTGTCAGGTCCCAGCGTTGTCGTGAGCTTGTCGAGTCACGCCACAGCACGGTTTTCTAGGCTGGGTTGGACTGGAAGCTGAGGTCTTTGAAGCACTTTCTTTCTTAGCTGGTTCATGTGCAACTAAACATGGGTGCATGGGTGCAGCTCATACATGGGCACCGAGGCGAGTTTTTCGCCTCGGATCGTACGAGGCACTCGTTTGAGGGCGAGTGACGAGTGTGCTTTTCCCTGAAAAAACTCGTCCGAGCTGAGGCGAGTTTAACTCGGCGAGTTTTTAGAACTCGCCGAGCACTCGTTGCGCTGACGAGCTTTTTGAAAAGCTCGTGCATGTATATGGCTACGAGCTGAGCTTCCCTCGGCTCGACCGAGCTTTCCTTGAAGCTCGGACGAGCTTTTGAAAAGCTTGTGCTATTTAGCCGAGTCACGAGCTTGCATTTTCCCGGAAAAAGCTCGTACGAGCAAAACTCGGCTCGGAACAAAGCTCGTACGAGTGTGCCTGGGGACGAGCCGAGTAAAACTCGGCTCAGCTCGTTGCCCATGTACTGGTGCATGGGTGCAGCTGGTGCATGGGTGCAGCTGGTGCATGGGTGCATGGGTGCATGGGTGCAGCTGTTGCATGGGTGCATGGGTGCAGCCAGCTGAGGTCGCTCATACTGCTGAGTGCATGTACTCATGCACTCATGCTGCTGGGTGTATGAGTGCATGCACCCATGCACAAGAGTGCATGAGTGCATGGGTGCTCATGCTGCTGAGTGCATGTACCCATGCACTCATGCTGCTGGGTGCATGAGTGCACCCATGCACAACATGGGTGCTCATGCTGCTGAGTGCATCCAACCCCAAGGTCGCTCACATTCACAACATACATAATAGCATCACGCCATTCACGCATGCCATTCACCCATTGCGTTTACCCGTGCACTACGTCCGCACCCGTTGCCCCATGCGTGCCATCAGGAGGTGCGGCGGCGCTACGACAAGGCTGGGCGGCAATATGACCAGGTGAGGACGAGGATTTGCTCCCCACTGCCCTTGCTCCCACCCATCCTATTGCCGCACCATGGATGCACCCATGCACACACCCACGCACCCATGCACCCATTCGCACCCATGCTCCTTCAAGGTTTATTAACGCCGCATTCACGGCCTGTGCATGATGGATCATGGACCTCTGAATATCAACCAATGCAGGACCTCTTGTTGTTGCTCAACAAAGGGTTCAAAGCCCAAGTGGTCTTGGGATATCTAACAGACATTCCCCTGTCCCCCTCTGCCCCTCCCCTCCACCCCTCCCTCCCCTCTCCTCCCCAATTCCGCCCTCTCACCAGATGCGGGAGCGCTTCCTGTCGCTCAAGAAGGGCATCAAGGCTGAAGTGGCGGCAGAGGCCGACGAGGTGAGAGGGGATTGGTTTGAGTTTGACTGGGAAGTGCCGGGAAAATTGCTGCGAGGGGGAGGGGAGGGGAGTTTGAGAAATCAGAGATATGTGGGCACAGCATGGAAGGCAAGTGGAGATGTGGGAGGAGGTGGGTGGGAAGATGTGGATGGGAGGAAGGTGTTGAGAGGAGAAAAGGGAAGTGTGTGAGAAAATTTGTTGGGCGACGACTCCTGTTTTCCCTTGGAAGTTGTCGCCTAAGTTTTCCTTCCGTCGTACCCACACCGCTGCTCTCTCTTGTCCTCTCCTCTCTCCTGCTCGCCCTCTCTCTGCCCTCCTCACAGCATGGGGCCCTCCCCGCATGCTGCAGTGCAATCATACCTGAATTGAATCCATACGCTGCAGTTTGAGATGTTTACATGCCCCCTCCCATGCCCTCCCATGCCCTCCCATGCCCTCCCATGCCCCTTCCATGCCCTCCCATGCCCTCCTATGCCCCTCCCATGCCCTCCCATGCCCTCCCATGCCCTCCCATGCCCTCCCATGCCCTCCCATGCCCTCCCATGCCCTCCCATGCCCCTCCCGTGCCCCTCCCATGCCCCTCCCATGCCCCACCCGTGCCCCTCCCATGCCCCTCCCATGCCCTCCTATGCCCCTCCCATGCCCTCCCATGCCCTCCCATGCCCTCCCATGCCCTCCCATGCCCTCCCATGCCCTCCCATGCCCCTCCCGTGCCCCTCCCATGCCCCTCCCATGCCCCACCCGTGCCCCTCCCATGCCCCTCCCATGCCTCTCCCGTGCTCATAAAAAAACCTGCAATCCCCTCACCCTTTTCGTCATGCCCCTTTGCTTTCACCCCCTGTGCCACCGGGATTCGCATGGCTCGCATGCAGTTACAGATGTCAAGATACCCTCCCCCTCATGCCCGTGCCAACACCCGTGCCCCAATCACTCCCCTGTGCCCACCAGGACCTGCAAACGGCTCGCATGCAGTTTAAACAGGCGCGCTTCAACCTTGTGAGCTATCTCTCCCCTTGCCTGCTCTGACGACCCTGTTCTGTTTTGACTTGGCTGAAAGCACACTCGAGAACACACTGCACTTTCAATTCATCTCAAGAAACACTTCCTGAAACTCTCTTCTGAGTGAGCTCAGCTCCACTCATCTGTGAAAGTGCAATGGCTCCACTCAATGCGCATGCAGTTGCAGTTTGAGCAGGCAGGCACAGCACAATCTTTATCAAGGGCATGAATAAGGCACAGCACAATCTTTATCAAGGGCATGAATAAGGCACATCACAATCTTTATCAAGGGCATGAATAAGGCACAGCACAATCTTTATCAAGGGCATGAATAAGGCACAGCACAATCTTTATCAAGGGCATGAATAAGGCACAGCACAATCTTTATCAAGGGCATGAATAAGGCACAGCACAATCTTTATCAAGGGCATGAATAAGGCACAGCACAATCTTTATCAAGGGCATGAATAAGGCACAACACAATAAGGGAATGTGATGTGAACAACTCCTCCTTTAAACACCACCTCATAAGCTTATGAGGGTCTTCTTCTCTTAAGCTTATGAGGGTCTTCTTCTCTTAAGCTTATGAGGGTCTTCTTCTCTTAAGCTTCTGAGGGTCTTCTTCTCTTAAGCTTCTGAGGGTCTTCTTCTCTTAAGCTTATGAGGGTCTTCTTCTCTTAAGCTTATGAGGGTCTTCTTCTCTTAAGCTTATGAGGGTCTTCTTCTCTTAAGCTTATGAGGGTCTTCTTCTCTTAAGCTTCTGAGGATCTTCTTCTCTTAAGCTTCTGAGGGTCTTCTTCTCTTAAGCTTATGAGGGTCTTCTTCTCTTAAGCTTATGAGGGTCTTCTTCTCTTAAGCTTATGAGGGTCTTCTTCTCTTAAGCTTCAGATATAACGATGCTTCCCCTGCAACTCTATTGACTCCGTCCCTGCCATGCGCGATCCTCGTGCTGTGTGCGTGTGTGTGTGTGTGTGAGTGTGTGTGTGTGTGTGTGTGTGTGTACGTGTGTGTGTGTGTACGTGTGTGTGTGCGTGTGTGTATGCGTGTGTGTGTGTGTGTGTGTGCGTGTGGGTGTATGTGTGTGTGTGTATGTGTGTGTGTGTGTGTGGGTGGGTGAGCGTGCGTGCGTGCGTGGGTGGGTGAGCGTGCGTGCGTGCGTGTGCGTGTGTGTGTGTGAGGAGGGAGGGGGGGGGGGGGGGGTGGGGGTGGATGTATCTGTGCACATCTATGAAAATTCCCGCCTGCCCCCCCCCCCCCATTGCTACCTGCCCGGTGCTATGAGCAGATGACAGCGCTGAGCAGTGCAGAGGCGAAGAAGAAGCACGTGTTCCTCGAGTCCATTGGCTCTGCTGTGCACGCCCACCTGCGTTACTTCAAACAGGTACCAGCCATGCTCATATGCATGCTCATGCTCACAGGCATGCTCATCATGTGCACGTATATAGTTGTGCGCACATGTGCGCCCACCTGCGCCACTTCAAATAGGTAGGTACCCGCATTCATACTCATACTCCCATGTAAGGAGATGTACTTGTAAAAATGTTTCCACATGGAGAGTGCAGCATGCCTTCATGCTGCTGCCACATCAATACATTGTGCCGACCAACCCATGCCACCTATGTTGGGCTTGAATTGAAAGCTTGCCAAGTGGCACTGCAGCTGCAACCTATCCGCGACAAGCTGCACTGCACTTGCACTTGCTTGTTGTGCGCATGTCACCTGCCCACTGCTTTACACCAATGTTTCCCGTTCTCGTGTTGCACCAACCAGCCTGCCTTGTGAATGATTCCATTCTCCCACCTTGCTTTTTTCCACGCGGCAGGGCTACGAGCTGCTGCAAGCAGTGGAGCCGTACATCCATCAGGTGATTCTCCAGGGTGCTGTGTCAGGTCAAGGGGCGGATTGTTTGGTTGTGAGCTGTCTTAAAATGATTCTATCAGCCGTGGAGCCGTACATCCATCAGGTGATTCTCCAGGGTGCTGTGTCAGGTCAAGGGGCGGATTGTTTGGTTGTGAGCTGTCTTAAAATGATTCTGCCAGCCGTGGAGCCGTACATCCATCAGGTGATTCTCCAGGGTGTCGGGCCGAGAGCGATGTTTCTGCTTGCATGTAGGGCTGGGTAGGTTAGGCCACACCAACGCCCGAGAATAAGGAAGCATGCTGTATTTCGTTGATTTTCCAACGGCTTCTTTTGTGCCATCGTTCCATCTTCATGTCTTCTCATCTCATCCCGGCCGTCGTATTGCATCACCCGGCCATGATATCGCAACTCACAGGTTTTTATTGTTCCCATCATCCATACCCTTCTCATATTCCCTATCCTTCTGACTTGGGTCCCCATGTTCCTACATCATCCTAGCATGTCCCGGTGCCCATCCGCCCTCACACGTATCTTCAGGCTCTCCCATTGCCTCCGCATGCTCTAATGCACGGTCAGCCGACACTAATCCTCTCAATTCCACCACGCCTCTCCCGTTCTCGCAGGTCCTCACGTTCTCTCATCAAGCACAGGAACAGGCCAATCAGGAGCAGGTGCGTGTTTGTGTGTGTCTATGTGGGTGTGATGTATGTATGTGTGCATGTGTATGTGTGCATGCGTGCATGCGTGTGTCCGTGCGTGTGTGCGTGCACATGTGTGTGCATGTATCTGAATGCCTTCATTCTTAGATTACTCGTTGTGGAGTATGAGCCGGGGCAATGCTACCATGCACATCCCCACATTCCAATCTTCACTCCTTGCCTCAACCCTCCTCTCCTCTCCTTTCCTTCCCTCCCTCCACCTCTCCACCCTCTGCTCCTCTCACTCTCTCAGCCGAAGCTAGCAGAGCGCATATACCAGTTTCGCCGTACCCAGGAAGAGGAGAGTGTGTGCCTGAGTCTCTGTGTGCGTGTGTCTCCGTGTGTGTGTCTCTGTGCGTGTGTCTCCGTGTGTGTGTCTCTGTGTGTGTCCGTGTGACCTGTTTCTTGCAATGTGCACAGACGGAGCTAGCAGAGCGAATTTACCAGTTCCGGCGCACAAAGGAGGAGGAGAGCGCGCAGCTAGAAGCCGCCCACACGCACGCGCAGGCACAGGCGCTGGCGCACGCACATGGGCGCGGGGGCGGCGGGCGCATGTCAGGGGCTGGTCTGGCGGGTGCAGATGGGGCGGGGGGCGGGGAGGGGTTTGGGCAGGGCCGCGGGCCGTATAGACCGTCAGGAGGAGTGAAGTCGAGCAGTGTGGAGCAGATGATGCGTGCTGGTGCTGGCGGGCAGAGAAAGGTGAGGGGTGCGGTTGGCACAGCTTGAAAAAATGTGCTGATTTACTTGTAAACGCTCATATATTTCTATGTACATACACATTACACATGTATATGTATATGCAAAAAAATCTCCACTGCCATGCCATCTTACCATTCCCCCTCCACGGCCCCTCCGTGCTGTGCTTGCGCCAATGCCACACCACGCGACACCACACCCACGCCACATGTGCAGGTGATGAAGCAGGGATACCTGGTGAGGCACACCAGTGCACTCCAATGTGAGATAGACCACTCCACCTCACCACACTCCCCTCCCGTGTCCCCTTTCTGCTATGTGCGTGCACCACACCACACCACACCACACCACACCACATTACACCACACCACACCACACCACACCACGCCACACCACGCCACACCACACCACACCACAGGTGCAGGTGATCAAGCAGGGGTACCTGGTGAGGCGCACTGCTGCCGCCCGCTCGCGCCACTTCTTTGTCCTCGATTCAAGGGGCTCCCTTTACTATCACAAGGATGCTCAGGTGCGTGCGACTTTAGAGGCTCCTTTCAATGGTCTTTCTTAGCTTCTGGAATGAGCATCTATATTTGAAGAGCCAACCGCAAGGGTCTCAAGTGTCTACCTTGTCCTGTGCTCCCGTTGTCCCTTACACCCCATTCACCCCACTAGTGTGGAAGATGTTCTTGTCTGGTATTCCTTGCTCGCCCTCCTCCTCCTTCCTTGCACCCTCCCACTCCCCCTCCTCTCCCCGTCCTCTCCCCTCTCCCTCAGAACGCACGCTCTGACACGCTCTCCTCGCTCTTCTCCCTCGTCCGCGCTCGCACCACCGACGCCACCCCTGCCGCCCCGCCGCCCGCCAACCCCATGGCCCAGCACTACCGCCCACTCGGCCTGGGCGGCAGGGGCAGCGGCGGTGGGCACGGGGAGGAGGGCGGGGACGACCATAGCACAGACTCAATGGGAATGGGGGCGGGGATGGGGGGGATGGGGATGGGGGGGATGGGGATGGGGATGGGGATGGGGATGGGGGAGGAGGAGGAGAGGAACCACGCGCTGCAGTACGAGTCGCTGAACCTACTGACTGCCACCATCAAGATGGATGCTGATGAGCCCGACCTGCGCTTCTGCTTCCGCCTCGTCACCCCCGACTGCACTCACATGCTGCAGGTATGGCAGTCGACTGCACGCACACGCTGCAGGTATGGCAGTCGACTGCACGCACACGCTGCAGGTATGGCAGTCGACTGCACGCACACGCTGCAGGTATGGCAGTCGACTGCACGCACACGCTGCAGGTATGGCAGTCGACTGCACGCACACGCTGCAGGTAAGGCAGTCGACTGCACGCACACGCTGCAGGTATGGCAGTCGACTGCACGCACACGCTGCAGGTATGGCAGTCGACTGCACGCACACGCGGCAGGTATGGCAGTCGACTGCACGCACACGCTGCAGGTATGGCAGTCGACTGCACGCACACGCTGCAGGTATGGCAGTCGACTGCACGCACACGCTGCAGGTATGGCAGTCGACTGCACGCACACGCTGCAGGTATGGCAGTCGACTGCACGCACACGCTGCAGGTATGGCCGTTGGCATCGGCGCCGTTCCCTCTCCCCCCCGTTCTATTTGCACCAATCAACGTGGCTGCATTCGTGCTCGCAGTTGTATGTGTGGCATTATAGAGAAGTCTGAGAAAATGATTCCGCTGTGGATGTATCTGCATGCATACATGTGGGGTGGCAGGGGGCAGGCGGAGTGTGCAGCGGAGCAGCGGGACTGGATGGAAGCGAGGATCACGCCTGTCAGTGCCTCTCGTCTCAACTCAACTCCCGTGTCCCCATACGTGCGTGTTTGTGTATGTGTGTGCGCATGTGCGTGTGTGTGTGCGAGGGTGGGTGGGGCTGTGGCAGGCGGAGAGTGCAGCGGAGCAGAGGGACTGGATGGAGAAGATCACGGCCGTCATCGCCTCGCTGCTCAACTCCCACACCACCGCCCAGGTGCCTCCCACACCACCGCCCAGGTGCCTCCCCGCTTCCCTGCTCGCATGCGTGCATGCTTGCCTCCCTGCTTCCCCACTTGCATGTCCCTTGCCTGCTTGCCTGTGTTTACCTGCCTGCCTAGTTTCCTGCCTGCCTACCTGCCTGCCTACCTGCCTGCCCGCATGCGTGCCCGCCAGTCAGCCTTCCTGACGTGGATGGTTGTTCCTGTTGTGTACCGCAGCACAGCCTTTAGCTCCTTCTGGTACTTCCTTCCTCTCTTCCCTGGCTCCTACCTCTTCTTGCTTTGTGGCTCTGCTTGTAAGCACAACCCTGCGCTTACAACCGCACAAGCTGGTTGGTTGGTGTTGCTGCTCTGGCAGCAATGCTGCTACACTGTCTTCACCGCCCTGCTTCAACCACCCACGTCGAAATCCCCCTTCTTCCCCTTCCCCTCAGCCACAGCAGCCCTCACTAGCCACAACAGCTGCCCCCAGAGTGGACAGCCCATTGCAGGTGCTGGGCTATGTGAGCGGCAATGACCACTGGTCCCCGTTCCCTCCTCCTTCCCCTCCCCCATCTCCCCCTTGCTGCATTGCTTCCTCTCCCCCTTCCTCTCTGGCTTTCTCCCCCCCACTGCAGCCGGCCCCATCAGTGGCGAACCTAACCATCTCCCACCAGGCAGCATCACAGGACGGGCAGGCAGGAGCGCTGCCCATAGTGGAGCGGCCACTGGAGGTGCTGGGCTATGTGAGTGGCAACGACCGCTGCGCCGTTGCAGCCGGGCGCACCCCGACTGGGCGTCGCTCAACCTCTGTGTGCTGCTCTGCATCGACTGCTCCGGCGTGCACCCCAACCTGGGCGTGCACCGCTCAAAGGTGAGAACGCATATCTCAAGAGGGAGTGGAGAGTGCAGTAACCGGTGTTTTTACTATGGCTTGAGGCACCTTGACTGACTGGGGTCGCTCAACCTCTGTGTGCTGCTCTGCATCGACTGCTCCGGCGTTCATCGCAACCTGGGCGTGCACCGCTCCAACGTACGCTTGCAACTCGTTTTATGCTTAAGCCCAAATCGCAAGTGGCGCGTGAGCTTTAAGCAGTAGAAATCTCGGTAGCCGGGTTGGGGTGTGCCTAGTATTGGGTCATGGTATGAGTCACCCCGACCGACTGGGCGTCGCTCAATCTCTGTGTGCTGCTCTGCATTGACTGCTCGGCGTGCACCATGTTGAAAGAGAGAATTGATGCATTGAATAATGAGCCAAGAGGCTCTTTAGTACAAACAATGAGCAAGAGGGAGATGAGAGGGAAGCTTATCCTATTGGCCAATATGTTGGCCAATGGGTGAGCTTGCTTGTGGCCCAAGCAACCACAAATGTGTGTTGGTTGGGATTGGTTGAGCTAAGGACCAATCTCAACCAACCACAAAATGTGGTTGGAGGGTACACTAAACAACCCCCCAATTTATAAATGTCTACACATCTAATTATAGCCTATGCTGGTGTGGACAGCTCTACTGGTGGTGTGGACAGCTCTACTGCTGGTGTGGACAGCTCTACTGGTGTGCCCCTTATGCTCACCGAAAGAGCTTCAGAGACGACTTTACTTACCTCATCCCCCTTCCCTCCGCAGCTTCCCCCTTCCCTCCGCAGGTTCCCCCTTCCCTCCGCAACTTCCCCCTTCCCTCCGCAACTTCCCCCTTCCCTCCGCAACTTCCCCCTTCCCTCCGCAACTTCCCCCTTCCCTTTGCAACTTCCCCCTTCCCTCCGCAACTTCCCCCTTCCCTCCGCAACTTCCCCCTTCCCTTCGCAACTTCCCCCTTCCCTCCGCAACTCCCCCCTTCCCTTCGCAGCTTCCCCCTTCCCTCCGCAGCTTCCCCCTTCCCTCCGCAACTTCCCCCTTCCCTCCGCAACTTCCCCCTTCCCTTCGCAACTTCCCCCTTCCCTCCGCGACATGCCCCATCTGTGCTTCCCTGCCACCAGGTGTGCTCATTGACGCTAGACGTGAAGGTGTGGACGGCGCCATTGGTGCGGTTGATGGCCATCAGCCAGAAGGGTTGGTCCTGATGGATGGCCATAGTGGCTTCTGATGGATGGTCCTTTTGAGGCGCCAACCCCTTCTGTTTCCCCCCTTCCCCCTCCCTCCCCCCTCCCCCACATCTCCCACTACCAGGTGCGCTCATTGACGCTAGACGTGAAGGTGTGGACGGCACCGCTGGTGCGGCTGATGGCCATAGTGGGCAACGACTTTGCCAACAGCGTGTGGGAGCAGCAGCTCAAGGACGTACAAGGAGGAAGAGAAGGGAATGCAGGCTCTTCAGGCCGTGCCCTCACACGGTATGTTGTGCGGTGGTGCGCTGTGCTGTGTGGTGCTGTGGTGTGTGGTGCTGTGCTGTGTGGTGTGCTGTTCTGTGTGGTGCTGTGCTGTGTGGTGCTGTGCTGTGTAGTGCTGTGCTGTGTGGTGTGCTGTGCTGTGTGGTGCAGTGCTGTGTGGTGTGCTGTGCTGTGTGGTGCACTATACTGTGTGGTGCTGTGCTGTGTGGTGCGCTGTTCTGTGCTCTTCACCCATCTTCAATATCCTTCCATATCATACCATACCATGATAGGCCAGGCCATACCACAACATACCATATCATAACCATACCAGACCATACCATACCATACCATTCCTTAACATACCATTCCTTACCACACCACACCACACCATACCAAACCATACAATAGCCTACCATAGCATCGTCGGCCCACACGTTTCGTCCGCCCTTTCACTACTAACCGCCCTTTCACTACTAACCGCCCTTTCACTACTAACCGCCCTTTCACTACTAACCGCCCTTTCACTACTAACCGCCCTTTCACTACTAACCGCCCTTTCACTACTAACCGCCCTTTCACTACTAACCACCGCCCTTTCACTACTAACCACCGCCCTTTCACTACTAACCGCCCTTTCACTACTAACCGCCCGCTTCTCCCACTCTCTGTCTCACTTCCCCCCTCGCTTTCACCTCCTTCCCTGCCGCTTCCCCCGTCACTTCCCTCCAACCATGGAGCCGCGTAGAGTGGAGAGCGGGGAGGGCGAGGGGGAGGATCACATCCTATTGGAACGATGGAGGGGCTTCAATGCTTGCATCACCCATCTACCCCCTGCTCCCGCTCTCTGTCTCACTTCCCCTTACGCTTCCTTCTCCTCACCACCTTCTCCCTTCCCCTCTCGTCCCTCCAGCATGCACACCCATGACACGGCGTAGAGTGGAGAGCGGGGAGGGCGAGGGAGAGGATTACATCCTATTGGCCAGCGATGGAGGGGCGTCAGTGCCCGCCTCAGCAGCAGCAGCGCCTGCTGTGGTGCACAAGCCGGCAGACACGGACTCACTGGCAGTGAAAGAGCAGTTCATTCACTGCAAGGTGGGTGGGTCACACATGTGCAGGCTTTAAGGTTTAGAGTCACTTTTGAGGAAATTGTCACTTCAGAGTCAAGCCAGCAGGCACGGACTCATTGCAGTGAAAGGGAATACATCAGTTGCAAGGTGGGAATGTGGAACACGCGTGTGCAGGGTTTACGGTTTAGTGTTGCTTTTCAGTCTGATCAACAGTCAAGCCGGCAGATTCAGACTCATTGGCCCTCAAAGACACAGACTCTCTATTTGCCACCCCCTAATCTCACCTCCCCCCCATCTTGCAGTATGTGGTAACGGCGCCCCCTCGACCGCAATGCACCACCTCCACACAGCAGTCGCCTTATGCGATGTGCCATGTGTCAACAGCAGCACTCTCCCCTCGTACTGTGTATTCCCCTCCCCGTTACTTAAATTTCAACCTTCCCCCTTTTCCCCCTTCCCTCCTCCCCATGTCACCATGCCACCACCCGTCCATGCCACCACCCGTCCATGCCACCACCCGTCCATGCCACCACCCGTCCATGCCACCACCCGTCCATGCCACCACCCGTCCATGCCACCACCCGTCCATGCCACCACCAGTCCATGCCACCACCCGTCCATGCCACCACCAGTCCATGCCACCACCCGTCCATGCCACCACCAGTCCATGCCACCACCCCACCATCTTCCAGTATGTGGAGCCCTGCTTCCCCGCGCCCACCACCGACACCCCCTTCGACGGCACTCCACCACCTGCGAGCAGCAGTCGCCTCCTGCGATGTCGCTCTGCCGTTCCGGCTCCTGCGACGTGTGCTAAGAGAACAGTAGCACTCTCGCCTTGCACTGCGAAATCCCATTTCCCTTCTTCTATTTCCCTCTCCCCATTCCCCCGTTCCACCCTCCCCCATGCCACCACCCCACCATCTTCCAGTATGTGGAGCGCCGTTACCAAGCGCCCGCCACCGACAACCCCTTGACCGCGCTGCACCACCTGCAAGCAGCTGTTGCCTCCTGTGATGTGCGCTCCGCCTTCCGCCTCCTCGTCACCGCGCCCGTCGACGTCAACGCTGACGTGGTCGGGGTCGTCGCCAGCACGGCGCCAGCTGGACCGGGGACCACAAGAGGCAGTGCGGGGAGAAGGGGGCAGAGGCTGCTGCATGTGGCGTGTGAGAGGGGCAACGAGGCGATGGTGGAGCTGCTGCTGCTGTGGGGGGCGGTGGTGAATGTGACCGATGGTGAGGGCCGGACGCCCATGCAAGTGGCGCTGCAGCATGGCAACCATGGATGCTCCAAGCTGCTTGCTAGCAGGTGTGTAGTGCCTCCAAAGGTGGGACAGACAGTGTTGATGTAGGATGGCTGTGTTTGGTTTTCCGCCTCATCTGACATATTGTGGGTCTCCTATGTGTTCTGTCCTGCTCCTGTACATGCTCGTGCAGGGTATGACAATTTCATCCATTTGAGATAAGGTTTTCCTTGTTAGTCATACCGTAGAGGTGTGTTGTGTTTTCCTTAGTGCTGATTGTTTCTCTTACAATACAATTATGGAGAAATCAACAAACGAAAGGAGACAACGGCATCCTGACATGAGCCGATTAGCATGCTCTGCAGAAAGGTGTCAATATTGGAGCAAAGTTGGATTAGCAAAGGAATACCTTTTGATAAGGCGATTGGATAGTATACACCGACAACAAGCGCACACTACTACCAATAACAGTCGTAACTGTGCGTGAGGGGAGAGGATGTGCTGCCCCATATGAAGTGTCTACGGCGGATTGAACACAGTTCTTGGATTGTCCACATCAACTTCTTCATCGGCAGCTCGAATCCGACCCAGCATCCGCTGTTCCTCCGCGCCTTTCCCTTTCCTCCACATCATCTCCGTGTAGACCCTTGCATGCTGACGAAAGGCAAACACAATTCTCCTCAGAACTCTGTGCGCACGTAATCTTCGGCCTTGAAAAACCACCTCGCATCTCTCCTCCAACCAAAGCTGGTGAAGGGTGATGGCAACGAGTGCCGCTTCTGGGAAGGCTGAACTGGATCGTGCCTTCTGAAAGAGAAGGTCCCCCAGTGAAGACACAGCGCGGAGTAGGTTTAGCTAGCCGAGAGCATGTTGCAGGGCCACCACCACCGTCTTGATGCGCGGACCGGGCAATGCTCAAGTGTCAATGCGAGCAGACTGGCTTCGCGCTGAGGACAGCTAGTGTCAAACTGTATGTTTGTGTTATCTCTAGGCTATAGTGGGTTAGCCTACAAGGGGTACAACACTTTAGGGTTAGGTACTTGTACTCATGCATGCTACCTAGTCCATCATTCCTGCCTGCTTATTCTAACATGATATTAGAGCAGAATCGTTCCTAGGGCCCACCGAACGTTCCGCCCTGCCCTAACCGTAAAAATTTCTTCCTACGCTGCCCCTGCAGCCGCGCTGCCCTAGCAGCCCGCGTGCTGCCCCTGCGACCGCGCTGCCCCTGCAGCTGTGCTCGCCCCTGTAACCGTGCTGCCCCTGCAGCCGTGCTCGCCCCTGCGACCGTGCTGCCCCTGCAGCCGTACTCGCCCCTGGGACCGTGCTGCCCCTGCAGCCGTGCCTGCCCCTGCGACCGTGCTGCTCCTGCAGCCGTGCCTGCCCCTGTGGCCCGCGTGCTGCCCCTGCAGCCCGCGAGTTCGCCCCTGCAGCCCGTGGGCGCTGCCCCTGCAGCCCACGCGCCGCCCTGTCGAGCCGCGCGTTGCCCCTGCAGCCCGTACGCCGCCCTGCAGAGCCGCGCGTCGCCCCTGCAGCCCGTACGCCGCCCTGCAGAGCCGCGCGTCGCCCCTGCAGCCCGTACGCCGCCCTGCCGAGCCGCGCGTTGCCCCTGCAGCCCGTGGGCCGCGCGCAACCCTAAACCCTAAAATATATATATATATGATAATAATAATAATAATAATACTCGTGCTACTGCTGCTGCTGGTGGAGGTGCTGCTGGGAGTGCTGGAGGTGCGGCCGCCCAGCCCCACTGAGCCGCTCTGCTGCTGCTACTACTATTACTGCTGCTACTCGTGCTACTCCTGCTGCTGGTGGAGGTGCTGCTGGGAGTGCTGGAGGTGCTGCTGTTGCTGGAGGAGCTGGAGGTGCTGGACCTACTCCTGACCGTCGCTGTCTGTCATGGCCACTATCGCGGTAGTTGCTGCGGCCAGGGGTGGACAGCAGCGGGCACTGCCTTTCCCGGACGACCCCACCCCTCAGCAGCTTCGTGAGTGGGTTGTTCAGCGAGGCAGGCCTGGTGGTGGAGGTTATCGTTGTGTTAAGGCTGCTGCTCTTGGTGCTAGTGAGTCTGCTGCCGCTCCAGGTACTAGTGAGTCTGCTGCAGCTCTAGGTGCCTATGAGTCTGCCGACGCTCTAGGTGCTAGTGCGTCTACTGCCACAGGTCCTGCCTCCGCTGAGGTCTTGCACACTTTCACACTTGACTCAGGCGCGTCACGTTGCTTCTTTCGTGATTGCACCACAGTCACACCACTCACAGCACCTGTCCCAGTCTCACTGGCTGACCCCTCTGGGTGCCCAGTAGTTGCGAGAGCCTCCACGGTCCTCCCTTGTCCAGCAGTCCCCTCAGGTTCTCTGTCAGGTCTCCACCTCCCCACGTTCTCGACGAACTTGGTGAGCAACGCTGCCATTCAGGATGTCTGGGTTGACACCTTTATTCCTGGAGGGCAGCATGTGGCGATCTGTACGTGCTCCCGGACTGGCCGTCACCTAGCTACGTTCACTCGACAGCCTGGGTCTAGTCTGTACACACTGACCACTGCGTCTGCACAGGTGGCTGAGTCAGGTCAGGTGGCTGCGTCGAGTCGGGCGTCTGCGTCGGGACAGTTAGCTGCGTCTTGCTCGTGCAGAGTACTCACGCACGAGACTCAGCGCTGGCACCACCGTCTTGGTCACCCCTCCCTGCCGCGTCTACGCAGTATGCACTCCCGTCTCCTTGTTTCTGGCCTCCCCAGGACCCTGCCCCCCCTGCCGCGCTCGCTTGCCCCGCTGTGCCTTCCTTGCGTCGAGGGGTGGCAGCGCGCCGCTCCTCACTCCTCCGAGTTTCCTCCGACCACCTCTCCTCTACAGACTCTCCACCTAGACGTGTGGGGCCCGGCCCCAGTCGGTGGAACGGACCAGGAGCGCTACTTCCTGCTGGTTGTTGACGACTACACACGCTACACCACCGTCTTCCCCTTGCGGCGCAAGGCGGACGTCAGCGGTGTTTTGATCCCCTGGATCCGTGCTACTCGTCTCCAGCTGCACGAGCGTTTTCAGCAGGACTTCCCAGTCCCGCGTCTGCACTCTGACAGGGGTGGTTAGTTCTCCTCTGGCGTCCTTGAGACGTTCTGTCAGGACGAGGGCATCGCCCAGTCGTTCACGCTTCCGGCCTCTCCGCAGCAAAATGGGATCGCTGAGCGTCGCATTGGCCTGATCATGGAGGTTGCTCGTACCTCCATGATCCATGCGGTTGCTCCCCATTTCCTGTGGCCGTTTGCGGTCCGATACGCCGCGCATCAGCTCAACCTCTGGCCCCGTGTCTCTGCTCCAGAGACCTCGCCCACACTCCGTTGGACGGGACAGCCTGGTGATGCATCGTCGTTTCGGGTCTAGGGCGCGCTCTCCCTTGTTCGCGATACCAAAGCGAGCAAGCTCTCTCCTCGCACTCTCCGCTGTGTCTTCCTGGGCTTCCCCACCGACGCCCCGCCCTGGCAGTTCTACCACCCTGCCTCGCGTCGTGTTCTGTCCTCTCAGGACGTCACCTTCGACGAGTCGGTCTGTTACTACCGACTTCACCCACACGCGTCCCACCCGGTCCCCCTCGCGCCTCTCTTCCTGGTACCAGTCCACCCCCCGGTAGACCCCCTTCCCCCACAGGGTCCTGCTCCCTCAGGTGTGTCTCAGGTAGACCCACCCCCCTTGGATGAGCCAGTGAAGATCTCTTCTGACTCCTCTGACCCAGCTGAGGGGGGTGACACCGCCGCCGACGACACGGCGACCACTCGCCGCACTCCTCGCTTGGAGACCCCCCCGGGTTTCCCGCCTCGGCCGTCTTCGCCACCTCCGCAGCCTGCTGCTGTGGACTCTGGAGCTGAGACTGCTGGAGCTGGGCCTGGGGTTGGTACGTCTGGGGGTGTCCGCTCTCCTCGTTTGGCTACCCCCCCCGGTTTCCCGCCTCTGCAGCCTTCTGCAGTGGACAGTGGAGCTGAGACTGAGGGTGCAGGGACTGAGAGTACTAAGCCTGCGGGTGCTGTGACTGAGAGTACTGAGCCTGCGGGTGCTGGGACTGAGGGCACTGAGCCTGCGGGTGCTGGGACTGAGGGCACTGAGCCTGCGGGTGCTGGGACTGAGGGTACTGAGACTTTGGGTGCTGACTCTGGGGGTGTTGCGAGTCCTTCTGGAGGTCCTGGAGCTGGAGGTACTGGAGCTGCTGCTGGTGCTGGAGGTGCTAGAGCTACCACTACTGGAGGTACTGGAGCTGGACAGCCACCGCAGCCTGCTCTACTTGAGACGCTCTCGCCACAGGCGATTCGTTCGTGGGTCGTTCGGCGAGGCAGTCCTGGTGGTGGAGGGTACGGTCCTGCTGGTACTGGAGCTACTAGTCCAGGAGGTGCTGCTGGTGCTGGAGGTGCTGGAGGCACTACTGGAGGTACTAGAGGTGCTACTAGTGCTGGAGGTACTGGAGCTGCTAGGCCTGGAGGTGCTGGAGGTGCTGCTGGTGCTGGGGGTACTGGAGCTGCTGCTGGTGCTGGTGGTACTGGAGCTGCTAGTACTGGAGGTGCTGCCGGTGCTGGAGGTACTGGAGCTGCTGGTGCTGGAGGTACTACTGTTACTGGAGGTGCTGGAGGTACGGGAGCTGCTGGTGCTCTTCGCCACCTTCTCATTCTTCCGCCCGGTGCTACTGACTTTCCTGTGGCAGGTACTACTCCTCAGTTGCTGTTTCCACTGGCGGACCAGTCACAGCCGCCGCTGCTACCGCACTCCCCACTGCCTGCTCCTGCTCCTTACACTGCGGTGACACAGTCCCTGACTGAGCGTCGAGAGCCTGAGACTCGTGCTTCCACCCCTGAGCGTCGAGAGCCTGAGTCTAGCTTTGACCTTGAGCCTGAGCCTAGAGCTGTTGTCCGTGCTCGTGTTCCTCGTGTTCGTCGTCCGCGTGCTCCGGCTGTCCCCGGCACTCACGATATGACACTCCATCCTTCCTCTGTTCCACAGCGTGTTGTCCTACCGTTACCTCCAGCGTCCTCTCTTCCTGACGTTGCTGACCCTCCGTCTGACCTTGCTCGTGCGTCCAGTCCGACTGTTACTCGCTTCGTTGCTACGGTTGTGACAAACCCTACGTTCTCGTC